GCCCACCCACTGAGCGCGGTCATGATGCTATCTTGGTCGTCGTCGATCGCTTCACGAAGCGTGCACGTTTTGTCCCGTGCCGCTATCGCATTAGCGCTCGTGAGGTCGCCGACATCGTCTTCGACCGAGTCGTGAGAGATCACGGCTTACCTCAGAGCATCATCTCCGACCGTGACCCGCGCTTTACCAACACATTCTGGCGACGCCTACACGAGGTGATCGTCTTACCACCCTCAGACGGATGGTTAGACTGAGGTCACCAATAAAACTCTCGGTAATATCCTCCGAAAGTTTGTTAGGGATGACCAACAGCGGGACTTACACTTAGCCCACGCGGAGATTGCGTACAACCACGTTGTTTCGCCAACCACGGGGATGTCGCCATTCTATTGCGACCTCGACTACCACCCTCGCGTACCTGCGGATTTCCTACGACCATCGCGGCTGCGCCCAGACACTCGTTGCCCCGCGCTTGACGAATGGATCGCCCACATGGTGGCGATTATGAAGCCCGCACACGAGAGTCTAGCCGACGCCCAGAGTCGCACGAGCGAACCGATCACGAATGGATCATCCATTCAAAGTCGGTGACGATGTGCTCGTCGACGCACGCTACTTACAGCTCGAAGCAGATACGCTTCACAAGTTCAGGCGTCGTTTCTTCGGTCCATGTCGCATCCTTCAGGCCGTCGGTTCTGATACTGTCGTTAGTCCGGTCAGCTTTCGTGTGAAGCTACCTGATTACCTTCGACAGGCTACGAAAAGCTAAGCTTTACTATTTACGTTCTTCATTTGGAAAAAAAATATATATAATATATATTTTTCATGTCTTAATTCCTTGCACTTCGATCGCGTACACGATGTTTACCACGTCTCCTTGCTGCGTCCTTATCGCAGACCGTCCGAGCGCTTCGCCGGACGCCCTTATGAGCGCCCTCCACCTATCATGGTGGACGGTCACGAGGAGTTCGTTGTTTCCGACATCTTATCACACCGAGTTACCTACGATACACCTCCACGCATTGAGTACCTTGTGCGTTGGAAGGGCTACCCTGATGAGGAGGCTACTTGGGAGCCATTCGAGCACTTGCAGCACGCCAGGATGTTAGTGCGTGCATATGATCGTGCTCGTCGTGCTGAGATATCTGCCCCTGCTCAGCCGACTAACCCTCTTCCTCCTCCTCCGACTAAGGAGATTGCTGAGGACGAGCCCGCTCCCTCTGAGGCCGTTCCTCAGCCGCAGACGGTCGCCTCTGAGCGTCCACAGCGCACTCATCATCGCCCTTTGCGTTACGATGACTGACACTCTTATCCTCCATCTTTCCCCACTGACTCACATCATCAGGTACTCCATCATCAGCTCTTCTTCAGGATGTCAGCGTTTTGCGGCTCTGCTTCGACATCGACTGGACTGCTACTTCATCGACATCATCGACCACTTCGACGACTTCAGCTACCTTATCGGCTTCATCTACTTTGGACGTGACTACTTCACGTCACCGCCCTACCCTGTATACTCCCTTGCCTCTGTCGCATGATGGTTCTCACTTAGCTGGGTCTCTTTGAGTTGGGCTCTCCCTTGGTATCGCATAGGCATTGGGACCGTAGCGTTACCTTGGCTTCCTTGCTCCCAGATCTAGCTCCCTCTCCCAGTCGGTGAGTTGTGTGCATGTTTCCCTCACCCACTGGCCTCATCACCCTAGCGCCGACCATTGCATGCCTTCAGTTAGGCATATCTCCTTATTCCAGGCTCCCCCTTTTCATGGTCCACCCTGCATGGTGTCACCCTTGTCGAGCATTACCCGCCTTGATGGTCTATCTGTTAGGGTCATTGGTTTCGTTCGCTACCATTCCCCTACCTCGAGCCTGATGACCTATCCCACCTTTTTGTGTGACTGCCCTTAGGAGTTTCGATTCTTAGGCTGCATCCACCCCCCTCTGAGACCATCCCACTCTTAGTGGTTTAGCGACACAACATGACCTTGTGACATATTGCTCTCTTTTCTTTTCAGTACTGAGGCAGTTGCCTCTAGGACTCTAGGATTGTACCACGCTACATTTCATTTTCTGCTATCAACCAGGATGCGGATATCAGACATTTGCTTTTCTGTATGACATTATGTAGCTTAGGCTGCATCGCATGGAGCTTGCTCCGCATCCTAGATTTCTCAGCTTTCTTTGTTGCAGAGCTCTGCTGCTTTAGCGGATAGCGTGTTTATGGCTCTTGCGATCCACTATAGGTCTGAGGATCGTGCAGCGGGCCTCTATATGCCCTGGCCTACAGCCAGGGCCTATCTGGCCATTTTCCCTGCTCGGCTTGTGGGACAAGGCCGTGGCCTGATCCCACAGGCCGTGTGGTTATTCAGTCCAGACCAGTCCTGCCCGGTACCACTGTCGGTACCAGGCCAGTCCAGTCCAGTCCGGTCAGTCCACTGGAGGTATACCCCAGCTGCAGTCTGTTTTGTGGCTCATTCTTCATTTGCACAGATTGGAGTACGTGCGTGTTGAGTCTGCGTTGGAGCTGCGCTGTCCCTTCCAGCTCCATCTCCATCTCCCCCATCCTCATCCCTTCGTCTTGATCCTGACGGACCCGACGGGTCCGTCACATCTGTGGCCTTGTCTTTTGCCTGAAGCTTGCGTATGATGTCCATCGTGACAGGGTCTTCCTAATAGGCTCCCACCAATGATTGAGTTAGTTCCTTAGATACACCAAACTCAAAAACTAGCGCCCCTAGGTAGTCTGCTCTACGTGATAGCGCATCTGCAACCTTGTTGTACTCTCCCTTCAGATACTCTAGCTTGAAGTCATATTGATCTATGACCTCAATCCATCGCTTGAGTGCATCAGAGAGAACCGGATGTGTCTTGATCCATTTGAGGGTCTGATGGTCAATTCTCAAATAGAAGAACCTTCCCAATAGAAAGTGCCTCCAATGGACAAGTGCTTTGTATAGAGCATAGAGTTCCCTTTCATAGGTGGACTTTGCCATTTTATTTGATGGCATTTTCTTGCTCATGTACTCAATCGGCCTCAACTTCTTCTCATCCTGCTAAGCCAGCACTGCGCCAATGCCGTATTGGCTTCCGTCAGTTGTTACAATGAAAGGCTTCTGAGGATCGGGCACCATGAGAACCTCATGATTCATGAGTGCATGCTTCAATCGTTTGAAAGCAGCCTCACACTCATCACTCCAGTCCCACGACGTGTCATGTCCAGTTAGATTAGTCAAAGGAGAGGCGACTGTAGAATAGTTCTTTACGAAGTTCCTATAGTAGTCGCACATTCCTAAGAAAGATCTGACCTCAGTAACAGTCTGAGGTCGTGGCCAGTCCCTGATACTAGCCACCTTCGCATCTTCCGGCCGAATACCTTCCGCAGATACTTCATGACCCAAGTATAAGATCTGAGTACGTCCGAACTCACATTTCTCTAAGTTGACCTTATACTTGTGTTGTCGCAAGAGTGAAAGTACAGTCTCAACGTGCTGTGCATGCTCTTCGACAGACTTACTATAAATAAGAATATCGTCAAGGTAGACTACGACAAACTTATCTAAGTGGTCATGGAAGATCCTATTCATGGCGTGCTGGAATGTACCCGGCGCATTGCAAAGGCCAAAGGGCATCACTACAAACTCATGCAGACCGTATCTGGTCTGAAAAGCAGTCTTGTGCTGATCCTCAGGTCTTATTGCAATCTGATGGTAGCCGGATTTTAAGTCTATCTTGCTATAGTACTTACATCCCTACACCCTATCCAATAGGTCGTCTATGCGAGGTAGAGGCTCTGCGTTCTTTACAGTGATGGCATTGAGGCCTCTATAATCAATGCACATCCTCAATGTACCCCCCTTCTTCGGTACAAATAGCACTGGAGATCTGTAGGGGGAAGTACTCGGCCGGATCCATCCCTTCTCTGCCAGCTCTTTCAGTTGTCGCCGAAGTTCATCCAAATCGGTCGGAGCCATCCTATAGATCCTTCCCTTTGGGGTTTTACTCCGTGGAATGATTTCTATGGCATGGACAATCTCCCTCTCTACGAGTCCTGTAGGCTCAGTGAACAGATCGGGGAACTTAGCAACGACGTGTTCTATCTCTGGGGGTGTTTTAACGGCCGCCCCTTTCTCAGAGACATACACTAGGTACATACCTTCCTCTTGGTTCTGTTTGTAATAGTTATAGAACGCTGATGCACACAAGCAGCCATAGGTATCGATTATAC